AGTTCCTTAGTGCACACGAAAGGGTTGTTAGGGATCCAACTAAAACAAAATACGGAAAAATTGTTAGTTGAATCCCGGCAGATGAGTGTTTGTAAATTCGACAACTTTGGGCCTCGGACGACTTATTTTTTTCTTGATTTTGGAAACTTAGTGGTTACTCCATAAGGGAAGACTTATCAAATACAGTCAAACCTGTATTAAGCAGACTTGCATTAAACGGTCACTTTCATTCTCTTAATCACCGTAAAACTGAGCTGTATTAAGAAGTCACCCAGCCTGCATTATGTGGTCGCGTTCACCTTTTCCGCTGTCCCAACGAGTCTGATTTTTTATTACCTTCACCTCAAACCTTCACCTTCACCTTCTTGAACGGTCACTTTGACAAGATGTACCATCATGACTAGTGCAATAGATACACTGTGCATGACATTCATTAGTCTTTTACCCCCTTTTTGGTGCAAGAAGAGGTAAAAACACTCTATGGTCAATTTGTCAAGTTACGGCTGGAATATTTTGCTTTGTCACCTTTTTTATTTTCTTGATAAACAACCCTTTAAGCCCTAAGAGTGACCAGCATCAAATTTTGTCTTTTAATATTTTAAAATGCTTTGTAAAATTACAGAGAGAATTACGGACATAATCGCACAAGATGAATTTGCTTGATATTTCATCAATTTTTCCCCACTACTTCTGCAGGAAATGAATAGGGGCAACAAATGAGAATTCTAATTTTGATCTTAGGGTTTAAAGGGTTAAATGAAAACAGGTTTGACTAACGAAAAAGTGAAGTCTCCATTTCAAAAATTAAAAGTGCTTCGGAAGTTTAAAGGTATTAATGACTCATTAAAACTTCGGATAGCCGCACCTGAACCAGCGTATGCACCACCTTCATCTACATCGTCATTGTACAGTTTTCAACAACAATAGAGTAGCCTTAGCAGCTCTCACAAGTCTCCTGTAGCTAAGTGGTTGAGCATCTGGACAAGTAACAAGAAGGTCATAGGTTCGTCTCCTATTGGGTGTACTTGGAACTGTTTCTTCTGAGTCACTTGTGTCATTGACCGAAAAAACATTTTTCCCAATAAAAGATTTCTGTCCCAAACTTGATAGCGTTTGTTTTGTTTCAAGCCTGTAAAAGCCAGGATGAATTTCTAAGTGCAATTTGTGCAAGTACAACACCTTCTTTGCAAATAGAAAGGGGTATGATAGAGGGTCTAAATGGGGGTACCCCGATAACACTTAAAACTTCATTTTTTGGCTTTGTAACATGAAACAGTTACTGAAATTTTAGGCATTTTAACACTAACAGTAACAAATTCTTTGAAACAGTAAATTTTTTCCAGAAAGAAGCAAAACGGCTCCAAAAAGGCCAATATTATTTTGTTTAGTATATGAAGGAATTTTCGCCCACTTTACGGATTATTTCGGAAGAAGGCTTGCGACGATTCCCGAAGACTGTCGAAGATTTCCGAAGACTAACAAACAGGTCCGACCATTGCCGAAGATGTCCGAGGAACCCTTTAAACACTTAACAGTATTTTCTTCGGAAACAGTACACATTGAAAAATTGGTCAATTCAACAGCAAACACTAAACATTATGGGCAGACAACACTAAACACTAAACCCCATTCAGACCCTCATGTAAAATTATGAAAATTGTTATAAAATGTTTGAAATCAGTACAACTTTTAAAATTTCTAAACTCGATAAAAGGGTGTGAATCGTTTCATGTTTGCCTGTAGACTGCAAAACAGTCGGGTTTTTCTCAAAATCGGTTCAGTCGTTTAGAGTAGAGGAAGAGCAGCATGAGAGCCTTCCCAGTCTCGCCCTCCATTTTCAGCTTTTGTCAGGACTGTTCGTGCGTACTTGAATTTACGCAAAAGTACGGACTGTTTTGCAGTCTAGTTTGCCTGATGCACTTTTGCTTGTTCTGTTCCAAATTGTAACAGACGCCCCCCTCCCCTCAGGGAGCTATAAGACGATCCTTGCGTCAGGTAGCAAGGGAGATTATATGGAGACTATCATGATGTACTTACCCCCACTTCCGTCCTTCTGGTGATGATGTCTTGTGTAAACTCGATGTTCAGGATGTAAAACGGACGAAAGCTTTTGGTAAGTTTGATTGGTTTTGTTACGCACGATCTCTGTAGCCAAACTTGAATCAAATGCAGAACAGTAGTGTACAGTATCAACAGTATGCTTATGCAGTTATGGAGTTCTTTAATGGCCGCCTGTCTTTACAGCTTGCTTGCGCGTATGGTTGAAATTCAGGCTTGCCCGCTGTCACTTCATGACTGGTCATGCTTTAGCTTTAGTAGTTGCTGTTGGCAAACGTTATGTGTACAGAAGACAGTAATGAAAGGTTGCAATGTTGACTGGGGAGGAAGTATATTATACATTCTATAACTTTTTAAAACTTTACTTCGGTAATGATGAATAACTGATAGGAAGTGGACAAATGTTTATAAGAGCCCATAATTTAAAAGTATTTGTTTTGGCATTAAATGCCGCATTCAAAGGTATTTAGACGAGTGTAACACCACTCTTTATTTGAAGCAGTTGTTTGTTGACAGAGGATATGAGTTTTGGCCAGCAGCTTGATGAATACAGTCGACCTCATTCGTGCTAGTATTGTGGTAATAATCGCTGTGACCAGCTATCCAAAACGCCAAAATTTTCCCAGTCTTATCATAACTTTTACAAAATTCTCGAATCTGATTGGTTATTAACTATTCTGATTTCAGCACTAATACATGTAGGACAGTGTACCGGTAAATAGGACAGTATGTGCCTAGGTGGGGTACTCTGGATTTCAAGTGACTGCAATGATCCAATAATGGGGGCAAAAATCAAAGACCCTAAAATTTCCCAGGGCAGTTCCAGCAAAACCCCAAAAAATCCGTGGCTCAGAAATTAACCCTGTTATGCCGCAAAATGTAAAGGTAATAATATTGATGTAAAAATTATGTAATAAAAACTTTAATGCACAATGTAATAATCTTTCAACTTAAAATGTAATAACTTTTGAAACACGTAATGTAATAATGAAAATTAGTATATACACACTCGGTGATCTTGGTGATTCAAGCAATCAGACTGGTTCGCTTAATCTCGGAGTATGACATTATATTCACCATGCTAGGCGGTGAATATAAAGCAGCACAAAATCGCTTATGTGAACTGGGTGTTTTGCCAAAGTTTCATGGTAAGAATTACTTGTTGAAAATACAAGAATATCCAAGTGTTGATGGCTTCTTGATGTTTAAACTGTCAATGTGATTTATTGTGAAGTGGTTTACTGTAGCTGACGTTTTGTACACTCAAAGCTATGTTTACCACTACAGAGGAAAACAAGGCCGCTTTGTCACTGTTTTGTGATTTCGGGATTTTCTCGCAAGACCAGTTTTGCCTATAAATAGAAGTTAATTTATGGAGAAAAAAGGAAGGCAAATATTTTCGAAAAATGTACACGCCAGCAAGTTAACAAGGCTAAGAACACTGCAGACAAACAACATTCACCTTGATATGAACATAGCCGCCCNGGCAGTTCCAGCAAAACCCCAAAAAATCCGTGGCTCAGAAATTAACCCTGTTATGCCGCAAAATGTAAAGGTAATAATATTGATGTAAAAATTATGTAATAAAAACTTTAATGCACAATGTAATAATCTTTCAACTTAAAATGTAATAACTTTTGAAA